ATTGTGGAGTGAAAATGAAGGCAAAAGAGGATAAGAAAAGGCTCAAGAATGAGTCTGTCCTTGACGACAGAGAAAACATAAATTGTAAGGATGAGGTGGATGAACACATGGAAGACCTAACTGAGCATTCTCAGTGCAACAATTGCCACGATGGTGGCATTGAGCATGTCCACCATACATCCCCAACAAATGGCATGTCGATTGCAGGCCAAAATGAAAGAAGAACGGCCACCACAAAAGAGCATGCATTCAGTATAGCGCCCATGGCTGCAAAATGGTCATATAGTGTTCGGATGCGGAGGGTGCCTGCAGTCAAGAACGGTGGGACAGTCCTCTGCACACATGGATGCAGAAACCATGTCATTGTAGTGATTATGACAAAGACGATGCCGGCTACAGCCGAGTGTAACAGTGTTTGTGGCTGTGCAAAGGAGAAGGTTGCAGAGTGTTGGTACATTGTCTTACTGCAGCACGGGGCCAGAGGAATGACCTTCGACATAAAAGAGATTGCGGACGGTTTGTTGTGGCAAGAAAACAACATCATGTTGTAAAAAATCAGTGACATCAATCATGGCATGGACCATGGTGCCGTTGTCCCACAGCTCCCAATGGTCATAGGCATGTACAATGGCCATGTAATGGCCAGGGCCATGCACAATGCAGGCAGAGATGTGGGATGGAGGATTAAACCACTCACCTGCTCGAGCATTGCGTAGTTCAAGTTGACAGTCCCTCATTGCTACTTGTAGGACAGCAATGGGAAAGCCTCCTTCGCTGGTATAATTACAATCCTCTGGCTGTAGTTAGGGAAGATCAGCATCAAGCTCAAGGGCGATTGCAAGGAAGTCTGATGGTGTATAAAACGGGTGGTGGAGAATGTGAAGACAGATATTAGTTACTGTCAGACCACAGAGATTAGTGAGGTTCTCAGGCTGGTTTGTTGGATGCTGACCAACAATTTGCAGATCACCCAGATGGTGTTGCAAGCCTAAACTGTGTTGGGTTGTTTGTTGGTCAGTCATTTGCAGATCACCCTTGTGGTCTGCACGTGGCGGAGCACAAAATTGTGGTTCATCCGAACAATGCTGGTCAGCCATTTGCAGATCCCCCATGTGGCCGATGCCTTGTGGGGTCACCTGCAATCCGGGCAAATCATGTTCCAATCCCTCAACGTTTAGGGCTGCATCCTGAGTAGCGGCTGTACCTGGAGTCAGGAGTGTACTCTGGGCAGCGGTTGCATCCTGAGTAGGGACTGTACCTGGAGTCGGGAGTGTACTCTGGGCAGGGACCACATCATGTTGTACAAGTGAGTCGTGAATATCTAACGCCGCAGGGTACCGTGGCTGCCTGCAGGCAGCTGGACTGTCTGCAGGAGGCATAGGAGCAGATATTGTCGTTTGAAACAAAGGAACCGCAACAACTTGTGGAGGAGGCACAGAGAGAATTGGGGCAGACAAAGAAACAGGTTGCTGATCCCTGGACAAGTGACGATGTCGCGGATGTTATCGGTGATACACAACAAGAGGAGTAGTGGTGTTGCAAGCAGAAGATGAACTTGTACCTAGCAACGAAGGTGGAACAATGGGAACAATGGAAACTAGAGAGTCTGTTTGCAAGCAAGACCGTGGAGGAGATGGGGTTGGTGAGGAGGAGCGCAGCCGTCTACGGCCAAGCACAGACAAAGATGAGAGGGGGGTGGATTGGGCAAGATTTTGGAGCTAAGGACGTGAGCGTCGGAGAGATTGTAATGTTCTTTGCATTGGAGCTGCGAGACAGAAAGTTGTAGCAGTAAAAACTAAAATAGGGGGAATTACAATTAGGGGAACTGTTGTACTGAAAACTGCAGCAGTGGAAACCGCAGCAGTAGAAACTGCAGCAGCGGAAACTGCAGCACTGGAAACTGCAGCACTAGAAACTGCAGCAGTGGACACCGCAGCAGTGGAAACCGCAACAGTGGACACTGCAGCAGTGGAAACTGCAAGAGTGGAGACTGCAGCAGTGGAAATTGCAGGTGTGGAGACTGCAACAGTGAAAATTGCAGGAGTGGAGACTGCGGTAGCAACAGATGAGCAAGCAGGGCCATGACGAGAGCATCGTGGGGGCGAAGAAGAAATTGGATGATGTTACAAGGACCATCGCAACATACGTCGGAACCATTGAGAGAGACACGTCACATGCGTAGGATAGCGATGTTGGCGGGAGCGCATGTAGTGGGGAATGCCCACGCGAAAGCATACGACGAGTAAGTGTTGTTGCCGTAGTTTGAAAGTCCTGGCAATTGTTACAGAGTTGTTAAAATCTGGTCTATTGCCCAGTGAACACACCAGCGGGTTGATGGGAAGGGATGTTGGAGGTCGCACTTGGATAACGAATGACAGGGAAGTCCCACGCAGCCACTTTATCAAAGACACTCATGCGAAGCGAGCCATTGGAACGGACCCGTAGATGCATACCTAAAAAGGTACAAGAGTCGTCTGTAGTTGTAGTCTCCTTCCACTCAAGCCCATAGTGCTCAAATGGAGGAGGTAATTGTCCCCACGAAAGAACATCATCAATGAGGCAATAGGTGAAGGCATATTGCTGAGCAGCTTGAAGATCATGTTGACGATTGTCATCAACAAAGCGTGCTTTATCCCAATACAGCATCATATTAAAAAATTATGGCCCAACATTCGTTCCCATTGGAATACTGATAATTTATTTCCGAAGCGTGTCATCTCTCGTGTATAGAAAAGTGTTTTGTACAACAAAGTGAAGATGTTCGAGAATCTGAGAAACAGAAAGGGTATCCGGGCCTGAATCAGTTGTCCATTGGCCACAACGAGGTCCTCGAATAACCATGTTGAGGGGAACACAGTGTGAGTGCGTGCGAGCATGCCGAAGGGCATAAGAATAAGCTTCATCAACAACTTTTGCCACATTATTCAGAATACGGTCATAAGGATGGTTGGTGTACATTGTGGTAAAATCAACAGTGCGAGGAGAAAGGCCACGAAGAGACGATGCATTGCTTTTCTGGTCAATCGCCACTTCATCGGCACTCTGAACGATCCAGCACCGTCGAACACAAACCTGTTGATAGAGCTTAGTGTCTTTCTCGTGAAGAGTAGAGATCACTCCTTGCACAGCAACGCTGAGATACGACGAAGTAGTCGTTGTGCTAGCCAAGGCTTTGTGAGGAGGTCGTTCATGAATGGTGCGAATTGTTGGACGAAGGCAAGCACGCGGGGGGACAACACTGTTATTTTGTGTTGTGACTCCAAGAATGTTGCGAAGAGCTGGAGGAGACTTGTGAGCTTTGAGTACATAGTCAAGGTAAGGTAGGGTATCAGTGTGCGTGTAACCCTAATGGTGATTCCACACTGCATGGTGGTCAAGGACATCAGCAACGGACTCTTGAGGACGAGTATAAGTGGGACTGTCCAAATGGGTAGAGAGATGAAATAGATACCAATTCTTGCAGCAAATTGCCGAATTGTGTGATGTTTTGTCCACAGGGACAATCACAAAGTGTTGTTGAAGATGGTGCAAGGAGGCATGTGTAGAACGTAGTGAACGTGACTGGCTCACATGATTGGGGAAAGAAGATGTATTGGATTGACAATGCGCAAGGATTGCAGAATGCCAGTTGTTCAGCTTCTAAGAAAGAGACGAGAAAGAAGCAGGTCGAGAATGCCCGACCAACATCCTTTTATAATTGGCAATGTACTCATCTAGTCCAATTGCTAGTGCCTGGAGCACATCGACAGTTTCCCCATTCAGCCGATACTTCGAGCCTTCTTGAAAAGGCTTGCGAAGGCTATCATCAGAGATGATATTGTAGTCAACAAACACAATATGGCCATCCACAAGATCAGAACAATGTGGAAAGGCTCTACCGCATTCGCAATTAGAGGAGTCGGGTAAGGTCATGCAAGGAGTAACGCTCAAGGCCACACCAGTGAAATTACAAAACTGGACACGCGTGGGTGGCATCAGTTTGTCACATACACGAACATGTGTGGCTGCTTGAGGGTCGGGGTGTGCAACGCAACTACATCCGGCAATTGTAACACATGGCGCAAGTTTGTAGCACGAGCTACCTCATGCACATGTACGACTTTGATGTGGTCAGTAGATGGGTCACGAGGTTGTGTTATGTAACGTTGGCAACTACATCCGGCAATTGTAACACATGGCGCAAGTTTGTAGCACGAGCTACCTCATGCACATGTACGACCTTGATGTGGTCAGTAGATGGGTCACGAGGTTGTGTTGTGTAACGTTGCCCTGAATGCTGCGATTTTTGGATGAGGCATTCGAGTTCTCGAATGTCTTCTCGAATGCCTGATGTCATGTATTGTAAAGCCATTGCAAAAGTCGTACCCGCCATGCTGGTGTTGCTTGCTCAATATCAACCTTGACACGACACCAATTACCCGAAGCTGCTTCAGTGAGAAGGGGATGCAGTGAGGTACGAATCATAAGTTGGGGACCCGAATGAAGATCAACAGCAAAGGACCTAACCGAAGGTGGTGGCAAGAGAGGTAAACAGTGAGGGGGTGTAGATAAAAGGGGTGCAGCATAAGAGCCAACGCGTGTTGGTCAAAGGGGTGCTATGTGAGAAGGATCAGTCGGTGCAGGAATGGATGGAGCAGCAATAGATGTGGTAGGGAGGGAAACAGGAGGAGTTAAAGCATGAGGAGGTAGAGGGGGCTGAGGAGCAAAGGGACGAGGGCCCATTTGTGTCCAACGATGAGGGCGGAAGTGTCGTCGTGGAGACGGCAGTCTAGCCATTGGAAGAACTGCATTGAAACCGACCAGGTGAAGAGTTTGAAGTTTCCGAAACCCAAAAACCCTCGTCCTCTTCTCCCTCTCTGCCTACGGTTTACCGGGCAGCTCTGTTTGAAGATACATATATATATATACTTGGGCCTAAGGTCATAGCCTACGGCAGGGAAAGCCAACTATACTACTACTACTCCCTTAGTCTACAAGCTACTTACTACCATTCTAATATTCTCTTTATTGTTCATTTGTTTCCTTTTCTAACTTTTACCAGACAAGCCTACCATCTTTCCCCTAATAGAAAGCAAAGCACAGCCATCGTCGCCGTATTTGGGGCAACTTTCAGTCTAGATGCAGTGATAATGACAGGAGGGTTAACAAGCCTTTGCCATCATAAAGGTTTTAAGGACCCTTAGGGGTACAGGGCCTCACCCTGCAGCATGCATAGAGGGAGGGGTCACCCTGGTAACCAACATTATCCCTCCTGGAAACAAATGGGTTGGGGACCCTAAGGGTACACCCATATGGATGAACATTTGCTCTCTCTCTCTCTCTCTCTCTCTCTCTCTCTCTCTCTCTCTCTCTCTCTCTCTCTCTCTCTCTCGAGCGCGCGCGCGCGCGTGTGATAACAAGCTGGTAACAAAGGCTATCCCTGCCGAAAACAAAGGGTTTGGGGAGCCTGGAGGTACATCCATATTGATGAACTCTCTCTCTCTCTCTCTCTCTCTCTCTCTCTCTCTCTCTCTCTCTCTCTCTCTCTCTCTCTCTCTCTCTCTCTCTCTCTCTCTCTCTCTCTCTCTTCCGAAGCCATCAGAGGATCTGCGGCCATACCGCTGCTGGTCTGACCTGCAGCCCCCATTACCAGATAAGGCCGCAATTTTCAGGCAGGATCGACGCAGCCCCCCTTGACAAAGCCACAATTTGAAGGCAGCACCTGTGCAGCCACCCATTCTTGGACACAGGCACAATTCTCAGGCATCATCAGGGTGACAGCTGTCGCGTTCAGTAATGGCCTGGCCTGCGCTGGGCTTTGGCTAGCTAGTCAGGGTGCAAAATTGCAAATCAAGCCGACAACTGTTCGGTAATGGTCTGCCAATGCAGGTGAAGAGAAGCTCAGGGGGCAAAATTGCAAATTAGCCAAACAACAACAAACACACAAACATACAAATAGACAAACACACAAATAGACAAACAGACAAGCAGACAAATAGACCAGCAGACAAATAGACCAGCAGACAAGCAGAAGAACATATGAAGGATGAACTCACCAGCTTGATGACAAGGACTTTCTGATGTTGCAGGCCTAACAGCTGGCGTCTCAGGTCTTCTGCTAAGACAAAGCCCTTCCCATTGCCGTAACCTCCATGGCCACCGACAGCTGCAATCATCTGGCCATGACTAAGAGCATGGCACCGGCTGCACATAAGCTTCTTCAGCTGACCGTGAAGCTTCTTCTGCAAGAAGAAGTTGTCCAAGAACCCACCAACACAATTTCACAAGCGTTCCTCAGCACAGCAGTCAACACCTACTCTCTCTCTCTCTCTCTCTCTCTCTCTCTCTCTCTCTCTCTCTCTCTCTCTCTCTCTCTCTTTTGTATGTTTGTGTGTATGTATTGTGTTAGGACCTGCCAAACATGGACTGACCCGAAGTACAAATAGAAAAAGAGAGAAGAAAGAAGAAAGAAGAAAGAAGAAAGAAGAAAGAAAGAAGAAGAAGAAGAAATAGTGAAAAACCGAGTGGCCATAGACTGCTTCTCGCACACGCATCGACCAGATATTTCAATGCTTCTCCGCAGTACAGTTCTCAGTTCAAAACGCGCAAATTCCCCGATGCGTTTCGGCCAGGCTGCGCTCCTGGCACTCCTCAGGGGACTTCTCCCCAGATTCGCCTTACGGCAGAAGAAGAAGAAGAAGAAGAAGAAGAAGGAGGAGGAGGAGGAGGAGGAGGAGGAGGAAAAGGAGGAGGAGGAGGAGGAGGAGTCAGCAGCAGCAGCAGCAAAAGAAGAAGAAGAAGAAGAAGAAGAAGAAGAGGAAGAAGAAGAGAGCAGCAGAAGAAGAAGAGAGCAGCAGAAGAAATAGAAGAAGAAGAAGAAGACGAAGGAAGAAAGCAGAAGCAGGAGGAGAGGAGAAGGAAGAGGCAGCAGCAGCAGCAGCAGCAGAAGAAGAAGAAGAAGAAGGAAGAAATCAGCAGTTGCAACAGCAGCACAAGAAGAAGAAGAAGGAAGAAAACAGCAGCAGCAGAAGCAGAAGCAGAAGCAGAAGCAGAAGAAGGAAGAAAGCAGCAGCACAAGAAGAGGACGAAGAAGAAAAAAGCGGAACAGAAAGAAGAAGTGGAAGATGCGGGATTACCGACCAGCTCGTATTTCGCTTCGTCCACGTAGCCAGCCACATCAGCATCCGCCGTCTGTAGCTTCGCTCCGCATCCATAACAAACAGGCCCTTCAGGCCGAACAGGCTTGGGCAACGACTTCTTTTTCCTTCTCGGCTTTGCCCTCGATTCCCCTCCCTTCCCCTCCTTGTCCTCCTCCTTCTTCTGCCGCTGCTGCAGCTGCTGCCGTGTTGTTGCCGTAGATGCCTTCCAATTTCTCTCGTCCTCTCTCCACCGGTCGCGTTTTCCACCATCGGGATCCCGACCATAGCCTTCGCCCTTTCCATAACCTAGGTTGGCCTCATCACTTTCCCAAAGTCTGGACTCTGATCGGGATCGCGATGATACAGCTGATCTCCCAGCAACACCCAGTGAAGAGCGACGTATTGGGATGCCACGTGTTCCCTCCCTTCCTCCTCCTTCCACTCCTCCTCCTCCTCCTCCTCCTTCTTCTCCTCCTCCTTGCTCTCCTCCTCTTCCTCTTCTTCTTCTTTCCTCCCCTACTCCTCCTCCTCCTCCTCTACCCAGATGCAATTGTCGTTGTCGGAGGAACAACGACGAGGAGTTGTGACCCTCCTCCTCCTTCTCCTCCTCCCCCTGCTGCGAGCCAGAAGCGCTCCTGCTCCTCCTCCTCCCACTCACCCCTTCCTCCCTAGAGAGCACCGCCTTCACAGATAAGCCATAGCACCTGTCTCCTGCTCTCTCCACGTGTCCTCTCCACGTGTGTCTCCTCCACCTCCACGTGCTTCTCCCACCTGTGTACTGCTGTTGACACGTGTCCTCTACCATAGCCAACACTGTGCACAAGCAAGGCTCTCTCTCTCTCTCTCTTCTTCTCCCCCACCTCCATTCCTCTTGCTCTTTCCATTTTGGGGATTGCAGAATTGAGAGAGGAGATAAGATTCGAGATGATGCCGTCGAGATTCGATCCGTCGTCAATGTAGGGCAAAAAATAGTCTGACGACGACGACGACGACGACCTTTCAGATTCGCAGGAGGTAATGACCAGCTCAGGATAGAATCGCAACGATGAGGCCATGATGCACGAGACGAGGACACGTGTACACTGTGGACGCTTCCACGTGCATCCACAGCAGCAGCAGCAGCAGACAGCTGGACTGTTCTCCCGTTCATCGCACGAGCGTGTTAAGCTCTTATTTGGGGGGCGGTATATATTTAGGAACGGTAAGGCCTCGTTCGCCTGCAAAAAAGACAAAAGTTCAACAGATCTCAGCAACCTCTCTCTCTCTCTCTCTCTCTCTCTCTCTCTCTCTCTCTCTCTCTCTCTCTCTCTCTCTCTCTCTCTCTCTCTCT